GAACAAGTCAAATTGCAATTTCACAGTAGAATATCAACTCTACCGAATGATATTCAGTAGACTTTTTCTAGTAAAATCATGCATCTTAATTTGTAGTGAGGACATGGTGGAAGGCGGGATAGTAGGAAACCTAGCACTGGCGAAGATATATTAAATTTGTAAATTCGCCAGTTTGTATGCTATTAATTCAAACGAATGATCTGTGCAGTTGATTGTAGATATCCTGCTACTTTGAAAGCGCAGTGAGTGCATTTATTTCAAATGTGTGATAATGTAAAGCGCACTTGGAAAAGTTGGTAATCAATTGACTGGTGACAAATATTTTAGCAAATTTATATTAACCGGGTTCGCTAATTACTTCTACAACAAATTAACTGATTGCAAATGCTTAGGTAGTTATTATGCATAACTACAACCCACGGTGGATAATGGCACAATCTTTTTTTAAAAATGTGCACAATGCAATTCAAAAGGAGGCATTTTACTTTGCGGTACTCAGTATAAGTAGTAAATGGGACCGGTGACGTGTTGGCAGGAGATATGTTCAAGCTAGAGTATTAGTGGTAGAGAGCTATGCTCAGCAGCATATACATCGATGTAGCTGTTGAAGGGGATGTAGAGTGGGGTCTGCTGTAGAAGATGATGAAATCTCCTTGCTACTGCGCATTGAGCAAAATTGTGCTTCGATACCCATATTCTGAGCTTGACATGGACAACAAAGCGATTTTGCATCAAAAACGTGGTATCAAGCAGACGGGCGATTAAGAAGTACTAAGACTGTTGTTCAACACCTCTACCTCAAATTGGAAGCCTGCATATTAGAAATAGTATGCGCAACTCTACCATATAATGCCAAATTTTAGAAGAATGTGAGATTTGTGCTCCATCTGATTTGCTAACGATTCCGTCGCTCGTTAAAAAATCTGCATCGCCCATTATCTTACAAATAAATGCAAAGCATGGGCACACGCGCAATACACGTTTGTAACTGTTTGGTTCATTTTGCAGTTCAAAACTCCACTCGTCAACATTTTTTCTAGTTTGTGGAGATCGTGGGCTTTGTGCTCGATCCCACTGTATCTCAGATCGCCTGCTCCAAAAGGAAATAACTACACTCGTCTATTTTCTGCCAAATAGGACCGGAACATGGCATTTGCGCCAGACACCATTTCTTCTCCATTCGGTTCGTATTACGGGACCAAACTCCACTTGTCAATAATTTTTTTAATCTGAGAAGTGCGCAGGATGTATGCTCCATCCGATTTGATTCCACATCGTTCGCACTTAAACGGAAAAGCTACACTTGTCCACTTTCTATCAAATAGGATCAAAACTTATTATTTCTACGAGAATTATTGTTTTCCGTTTATCTGACAGCAACATAGTGGAAATTAGGAAAACTGAACTAATTCCTTTATCATACTTGCCTTGTAGAGTGCGGTAAAATACTCACTACCTCTGCGATGCTTTACAATTTAATACTTTGTCGATAGTATTTATTTCGTCTTCGAGGAATACTTGCCCACTTCAACCAACGAGTTTGCCTAAAAATGTCTTATTGAGCAGCAGAAGCCCAGAACATGCCCATCAGATCACATCTATAACCGATGCACGGGAGTGAGAAAATTGGAATTGGTGATGTGATCAACCAAAATCTTGGATAAATTAAGAAAATAGGTAGTAATTCAAAGCACGAAATAATAGTAACGTAAAAACCTTTAGAAGTAAGTCTAACTTGAGCTGTAAGACCTTGCGTTTTTGGCGAAAATTTTATGCATTCTCAATTTTAATTTTATTTTACTATGTGCAGCTTTTGATTAGTAAACGTTCTTATAATGTGACACGTATTTACTTGTGACGAAATCAACAGGATGTTTTTCTATCAGCCCCTATACCACCCAGTCAGCTTGTCTGCTTATTTATCTACCTACTTATTTATTTATCTATCTGGCTGTTATTGTTCTAGGAGAAATTTCTTGCCAGTGGATGGATATTATGGTTGAATTCTCGCTATGCGAAGTCAAGAAAGGCAGGGTTGTCTCTGAAAGATGGTGATCTAAATAGGGATGATGTAGATGTAGATCAGTGGATTGGGTGAAACAAGTAGAATTGGAGAGCGATACTCGTAAGTCTCCTATTTCCTGGTCCTCATACTCCTATAACACAAAGGCTGATTAGACTTTAGTCTTTCTTAGGATAAGCAGATGGGAGAAGCAAATACAAGCAAGTAAGATTTTTTCCCCAGGTTCTGTCTATTCGAGGTCTTTGGAATGCATTTGAAAAAGTCGCCTGGATTTTAATGATTTTTATCCCGTCAATGATAGCCGAAATCATTCAATTAAGTGATTG